GTCCTGGTTGCCCGTGTGGTGTTCCTGCTCCATCCGACCGGGGCAGCTTGGGTGAGGGGGGACCCGGCATCTCACCCACACACCCCCCCACCCTGCCACAAGCCGGGTCCTTCTCCCAAGCGGGGGCTGCACCCGCCCGCAGGCACCAAGCCGGGCCTGGGCGAAGCCGCTGGGGGGTTGGCCTCGCTCCCGGGGCCCCACAGCCCTGCCAGGAACCAGCAGCGGGAGGGAGGGAGACAGACACACAGCACGAGAGCGACAGAGCGTGAAAGCGAAAGGCCGGAGAGCGAAGCCGAGAGCAGAGCTTTATCACACACAAGAAAACGGGGCCAGGAGAGAGGCTTTGGCAGGTGAGTGCTTTCCCTGAGAGACTGCGCTGGGGCGAGGCCTGGCTCGGGCGCCGGGAGAAACCCTGAAATCCGCCACGGTTCAAACCTCTCGCCGCTCAACCTGCTTTCAACGCGACCCCGGCCCGGGCCAGCACATGGGACAGGCCCCCAGCCTAGCGTTTGCTAAACACAAAAGACACCGGTGCGGAGCTGAAAGCGCGCAGGACGCATGCAGGACACAGGAGGGGGGAGAAAGCTACAGAGAAATGGAGAGAGGCAGGGTAGGGAGCCGAGAGAGACGGGCGCTAGTTGGAAAAGGAATTCAGTCAACGTCGGGTCCCTGAGCCCAGGGCGAGATGCTGGGAGATTCAGTCTCACCTTCCCTGCTTAGCGGCTGCCTGAGGCCTCTGGCCACGATCCCGGGCCCTGACCCTTGGGAACAGCCCCAGGTTTAGAATTTCCCCGGGTTTTCTTTTTCCCGTGGCAGTGGCTCTCAACCGGGGCGGGGAACGCGGAGGTCTTCCGGGCGGACGTCAACTCATCTAGATAGTTGTCCAGTTTTACAACAGGTGACATAAAAAGCCCCAGCCAAATCATTCCAATTTCATACGGACAAGGCCTGGTTTGGCTGCTCGAGAGACTATATTCTCCGGTAACGTCCCGTGTGGATTCACACTGTATTTAGGGTGACCGGACAGCAAGTGTGAAAAATCGGAATGGGGGTGGGGGGTAATAGGAGCCTTGGTAAGAAAAAGCCCCAAATATCGGGACTGTCCCTATAAAATCGGGACATCTGGTCACCCTAGCTGTATTAGACACGCGTTTGCTGTCATTTACTCATGCGGGCAAACCAGGGCTAAAATTCTCAGGGAGTATTTCCCTCCCCGCAATGCCTCCCGCGCCCCAACATGCTATAAAAACTCCAGGGGGGTTGGAAAATATTGCCCAGAGCTCCGCTCCGGACAGCAGCGGCTGAATTTAAGCCCTGGTGCGAGCACGTTCATGAGGTTGACATCGTTTTTAAGAGGGGTGAAACATGGGGGGAGGCAAGACAGAACAGAGTCCTGAACGGGGTACGGTCGTCTGGGACGGTTGGGGAAGACCAAACCCCCCTTTCCCGAGCCCCACTCAGTGACCCCTTTACGGCCCCATCCTGCCCCGGGTGGGACGCAGGCATCGGATTATTAAACACTGGCCAAATTCACCCTCATCTCCACTGCCTGGGGGGCAGCAGCGCTCCCCTCTCTGCATGTACCACCCCATTGTCTCTATGGCCAGGGGACTGGAGCCAGGCAGGATCTGGGGTAACAGGACACTGGGGCCGGGTAGAGTTCCCCGGGGAGATTCTGGGTAACAGGACGCTGGGACCAGGCGGGGGCCCCCCCAGCAGATTCTGGATAACACGGTGCTGGTGCCAGTTGGGGTCCCCCGCAGGGGATTCTGGGTAACGGGTCTGGGGTGCTAGGACTGGGTGTCCCGACCCGTCCGGGACACTCTGTGTTGGGAGCAGGGGACTCGATGGAACGTGCCCGTCGCTATCCACACCGAGATCTCAGAGCCCACTGCCCAGGCCCCTTCCCATCACGGCCGCCGGCCCTCGGTTCCTCAGTACGGCGTGAAGCGGTTGTACCCTCCGCGGTACAGGCTGGCCTGCCGGGGCAGAGACAGTGCCATTAGCATCAGCTGCTCGGCGGGGTGGGGCAGAAGGGGGCACCGACCGGGCATGGGTGGGGTGAGAGAGGGAGGGGGCACCGGCAGGGCAGAGGGTGTGTGGGCGGGGGCTGCCTAGCCGGGTCTGGGAGGGGTGTCTCCCAGATGGGATTGGGTTTCTGGGCAGGGTGGGGGAGGCCGCCAGGCTGGGCTTAAGGGCGTGAGCGGATCTGCCCAGGCAACCACCTCGGTCCGTGAGCAGAGCCCTGTCCCCGGAAAGGACCAGTCTGTCGGCTGGGGGCCGTGTTGAGGGAGACCTTCTGCCAGGGAGGAGCAGGGCCACCCGTGAGGCAGGGAGGGGGCAAGGGGGCCGGAACGGGGTGAGGCGGGGAGAGAATCGGGGAACGGGGCTCGGGGGCGGGCCCGACACGGGCCGGGGAGTCCCGCCGGCTGCTGCTCACCATGGCCCCGACACCATAGGCTGGAGTGACGGCGTGGTGGTAAGGATCCGCCGTGGTGTAGATCCGGCCGTACCTGGGGGAGCAGAGCAGAGGCCGGTGTTAGGGAGTGAACACTTTGCACACGCGGTGCACACACACACAGCCAGCTGTGCGAGGAGGAGCTGGTAGCACCGGTGCCAGAACTGGCAGGGATGTGCCCGCCCACACACACTTTTAAAAATGGGCCCCCCACTTTTTAACAAAAGAAACATACGCGCAGCATTCATGTCCCCGGCTGATTATTTCCCAACCCCGCAGAATAATTGATTCTCCCGGGGAGGCGCTGCCGTTACACCTTTAGCCCAGCAGGGGCTGCTGTGGTGCCTGAAGAGAGGGCAGCCGGCTCACCGCCGGAGCAGCCCGCCGGGGACAGGAAGGGGGTGCTCTGGCCTTGGGCAGGCCCCCCCACCCCACCCCACTTCGACAGCGCCCTTGGCTGGTATTCCCCTCGCCCCGACACTTACCCGTCTGTGTACGCCGCTGTCGTTGCCGCCGCCCCAGGGGGTTGTGCCACACGGTAAGCTGCATAGCCCTGAAACAGCCAGGAACGGGCGTGAACCCCCGGACAGCCCCTGCATCCTGCACCCACCCCCCCCACGATACCCTCCAAGGGCAAAGTATGGTGCGGGGGGGCAGCTTCCCTAATCGCTCCTGTTCCACAGTGAAGGACCAGGGCTCGGTCCGCCAGCTCATTCCCAGGGAGCGGACGTCTCCGTGCGCGCTCAAGGGAGGAAAGAGGCACCGAGGGCACTAATGGGGTGTGGGGGGGGGGGCGGTCTCAGGCTGTCATCTCCCCTTTTCCTCCCTCTGAGGCTGAGACAGACGGAGGGGTGGGGCAGCGCTCACAGGGCAGGGGAGAAACGCTTTGACCCCCCACACCTCCTCCTGCAGATTCCCAAACCCCAGCCCCATACGCTGGCACAACCCTCCCCCGCAGCTCCCCGGAGTGTGGGGCAGGGATTCAGGAGCCCGGGATGCTCCCGCAGCAGCCCAGAGAGACAGGGACCCAGCGGGTGGGGGAGACGTGCCAGGCACTGGTGTAGCCCAGATATACCCACCCACCACACACACACACACACACACATACACACACACACACACAACACGGCCACCAGAGCGCCAGAGACTTACATAGACATCGGTGCCGTACAGCCCATCCGGGTACACCACACTGTGGGGAAAGGAGAAGCGTCAGCTCCGGCCGTAAGCCCCCCACCAGCACTCGACACCCCCCCCCCCGCCCCATCCACGTCCCTGCCCCAGATCCAGCTCCTTCGGCTGCGGGGTGCACAGAAAGTGCCCCTCCAAAAGCGGCCAGAGTTTTATTCCGATGTCCCCTCCGCCCTCCCGACCACCAGAATCAACACCCCCCCACACTGATTCCCGCCCCCCGCGGGCTCACCTCCCGTAGGCAGGGACGGGCGACGGGGCAGGAGCTGCCCGGATCGGGCTGTAGATGGCTCGGCCACGGCCCCGCAGGCCCCCGCGATAGGCCAGCGCCGCCGGGGCCACCATCGGGTAGGGGATGGTGGCCACTGGGGACAGAGCAGACGGTCAGCACCACAGCGTGTGAGTGTGGGCGAGGGGATATAAGGGGAGAATGGGGGGATGGGAAAGGGACGGGGCATGGGCAGTGGGTATAATAGGCCAGGGGAGGGTTGGGGCCCCACCCACGCTCTGCCCTGAGCCCCTACCCTTGCTCCCCTCTCCCCCAAAATTGGCGGGGGCTCAGGGGTCGGGCTGGTGCTCGGGCCAGCCACCGGCTGTGGTGGGGGGTGGAGGGGGCTCAGGGCTCCAGCCAGGGGTGGGTGGGATGTAGGGGCGGGGCTTCAGGCTTAAAGGGGGAGACCGGGGGGGCTAGCGTCCCTGAAAGGGGGATTCACCCGCCGCCCGTGATGGGGGGTGATGGCGAAGCAGGAGACATGGTGGGGGCAGGAACAGGAGAAGATCCTTGTGGGGCCGGAAGGGAGAGGGAGACGGAGATGCGGGCAGGGGGGACAGGCCTGGGGAGACACAACGGCAGGAGGGAGGGAGGAAAAGTCCCACCTGTGTAGAGGTCGGGGGCGTAGACAGTGCCAACCAAGGGGTTGATCTTCCAACCTAGCCGCCGAGAGAGAAGGGGGAGCATCAGACCGGACGGGGGGGGCCCAGCCCCCCTTCCCTCCCCAGCTCAGCCCAGGGCACCGGTCTCTCCCCACAGACCCGGCCCGGGGCACATCAGAGACAGCTGTCTGCCCGGCTGCCACGGGACGGGGGTGTCCCTGTCCCCTGGCACCAGCAGCAGGAGGGGCCTGCAGCGTGACCGAGTGGGGGCCCTGCCAAGAGGGGGGGGGAGCCACACCTCCCGCCCCCGTCCCCTTGTACCGTTCACCGCAGGTGCTGCCGGAGGCTTCTTGGTGACCACACGGGCCGTGGCGTTGTTCACCTGCGGGGGGGAGGGAGGGAGAGGTGAGCGAGTCCGGGGTCATGGCAAAGCCGGCCCCCCTCCCACTCCCCACCGCCATGGGGCTGAGAGCCAAGCTACCCCCCCCAGTGAAACCACCTGGGTTCCCCCCCCCACCCGTCCCGCCATGGGGCACTGACCTCAATTTTCCTGCCCTCCACAACGGTGCTGTTCAGCTTCTCTCGCGCCTGGTCCGCATCCTGGCTGCTGTCGAAGGTCACGAAGCCAAAACCCTGCAGGGCGGGGAGAGGCCGGGGCGGGATGAGGCTGCGGCTGGCTGGGGAGAGCGGGGGGCTACGCGGGGGTGTGGGGCGGGGACACAAGGGGTCATGCAGCTGCCCTGGCCAGGTCCCGCTGGGGGCTTTTAAACCCTGCCAGGAGCCCCGCTTTCATCCCCCTCGGGCTCGGGGGGCTCCCACCCCACACGGCTCCTCCTCTAGTCCCCAGCGTTCACACACATACACACTCACGCACACGCACACACACTCACACACTCACACACTCACGCACACACACAAACACACACAAACACACACACACACTCACATAAACAAACACACACTCTCCCTCACACACAAGCACAAACACAAACACACACTCACACACACACACTCTCATGCACGCACACACATACACACTCTCACACGCACGCACACACATGCACACAGACACACACGCACACACTCTCTCACACACACACAAGCACAAACACTCACATAAACACACACACACTCACACAAACACACACACTCTCACACACACACGCAGCATCCCTCCCTGCCCCACGTCCCGGTTCGTGCCCCTCTGGGCCCTCCCGCTCAGCGCCTCCGCACCTTGGAGCCGCGTTCGTTGAAGATGATTTCCACGTCTAGGATCTTCCCGAATTGCTTGAAAAGGGCGGGGGGGGACGACAAAACAGGAATCAGTGACCGACCCTTCCACAACCCAGTGGGGCCCGACAGATCGTGGGTCCCTAAAAGGGCCCTCGGTGTGACACACACAAACACACCATGGGTGCTACACAATACCCCTCCCCCAGGCCATCTGGGCCACAGGTGGTAGCTTGTTCCCCCATCACCACGGGGCTCACACACACACACACCATAGGTGCTACACAACACCCCTCCCCCAGGCCATCTGGGCCACAGGTGGTACCTTGTCCTCCATCACCACAGGGCTCTCACACACACACACCATGTGTGCTACACAACACCCCACCCCCAGGCCGTCTGGGCCACAGGTGGTAACTTGTCCCCCCCCCCGTCACCATGGGGCTCACACACACACACCAGCTGCCAATCCCCAAGGCCGTGAGCTCTACCCCCCCACGTGGGACTCACCCCAAACATCTGCCGCAGGTCGGGGTCACGGAAGCGGAAGGGGATGTTGGAGACGTGTAACCGCTTGGGCTGGGATTTGCTGTCTTCGCTCTCTGCCTCCTGACCATCTGGGGTGAGAGCGGCCGCGGGACTCTCCTCGGCTGGCTGGAGGGAACCCCAAGAGATAAACCGGACAGAGCTGGGGCAAAGAGACGCTGGGATCCCCTGCTTACCCCCATTGGAGCCCCAGGATCCCATTACACCCCCCACCAAGATTCCCTGATATCCCCCCTCCCCTAGAATTCCCCGTTAACCCCCACAATGGGATCCCATAAGAGCGGCCATACTGGGTCAGACCAATGGTCCATCTAGCCCAGTATCCTGTCTTCCGACAGTGGCCAATCCCAGGCGCCCCAGAGGGAATTAACAGAACAGGGAATCGTCAAGTGATCTATCCCCTGTCGCCCATTCCTAGCTTCTGGCAGTCAGAGGTTTAGGGACCCCCAGAGCATGGGGTTACGTCCCTGACCTTCTTGGCTAATAGCCATTGATGGACCGATCCCCCATGAATTTATCTTGTTCCTTTTTTTTTAACCCAGTTCTACTTTTGGCCTTCACAACATCCCCTGGCGAGGAGTTCCACAGGTTGACGGTGCGCTGTGTGAAGAAATACTTCCTTAGGTTTATTTTAAACCTGCTGCTTATTAATTACACTGAGTAACCCCTGGCTCTGGTCTTACCTGAAGTGGCAATAACACTTCCCTACTCCCTTTCTCCACGCCAGTCATGATTTTAGCCCCTCCTTAGGCATCTCTTTTCTAGGTTGAACAGTCACGGGCTTTTTAGTCTCTCCTTGTGTGGAAGCAGTTCTGTACCCATCGTCATTTTTGTTGCCCTTTGCTGTACTTTTTCCAATTCTAATCTATCTTTTTCGAGATGAGGCGACCAGAACTGCACGCAGTATTCAAGGAGCGGGCACAGCGTGGCTTTATATGGGGGCATTATGATCTTTTCTGTCTTATTATCTATCCATCTCCGTATGGTTTCTAACATTGTTAGAATTTATCTTTTTTGACGGCCGCTGCACATTGAGTGGCTGTTTTCAGAGAACTATCCGCAGTGACTCCCAGATCTCTTTCTTGAGTGGCAACCGCTAATTTAGACCCCAGCATTTTGAATGTGGAGTCGGGATTATATTTCCCTTTACAAAAGCCGCGTTGACTCTTCCCCACCGTATCGGGTTCATCTGCGCGTCTGATCATTCTGTTCTTTACTAGAGTGTCTATCAATTTGCTACTGAAGTCAGGCTTAACGGCCTGTCATTGCCGGGATCACCTCTGGAGCCTTTTTAAAAAATCAGAGTTACATCAGTCATCCGCCAGGCACCTGGCCCAGAGGCTGAGTTAAGCGATAGGTTACAGACGACAGTTAGTCGTTCTGCAATTTCACATGGGAGTTCCTTCAGAATACTTGGGTGAATCCCATCTCCTCCTGGTGACTTATTACAGTTTAGTTTATCATTTTTTTCCAAAACCTCCTCTACGGACACCTCAATCTGGGACAGTTCCTCAGATCTGTCCCCTAAAAAGCATGGCTCAGGTGTGGGAATCTCCCTCACACCCTCTGCAGTGAAGACCGATGCAAAAAAATCATTTAGCTTCTCCGCAACGGCCTTATCGTCCTTGACTGCTCCCTTAGCACATTGACCGGCCAGTGGCTCCACTGATTATTTGTCAGGTTTCCTGCCCCTGATGTACTTTAAAAAAAAATTTTGCTGTTAGTTTTTGTGTCTTTCACTAGCTGCTCTTCACATTCTTTTTTGGCCGCCCTAATTGTACTTCTACGGTTGACTTGCCAGAGTTGATGCTCCTTTCTATTTTCCTCAGTAGAATTTGACTTCTAATTTTTAAAAGATGTCCTCTCATCTCTAACCACACCTCAGTTGGTTAGCTATGGGCACAGGTTTTGGGAGAGGGGGTTGTGGTCCTCTTACCTTTTTTTCCCCCCTTAATTTGGGGCATACATATAGTTGGAGCCTCTCTTATGGGGATTTTTAAAAAAGTCCATGCAGTTTGCAGGCATTTCACTTTTTGTGAGGCCCCTCCCCCCCTTTGCCAGCACACCAGGATCTCCTGCTATCTCCCTTTTACACCTCTCTCCACTGATATTCCCCTCCCACCCTTGTCCTGTGGCACCTCGGCGCCTTCACCATCTCACTTGCAGATTCAGTGATTCATGCCCGTGTCCCTTCAGAGAGTCAGTTCTGGGGGGAACAACCCCACCCGCACCCCGCTCAGTATAAAGAACTGCCACAGCCTGGGAGGCGGGCCCCGTCAACGGTATCGACGCCGGCCGGGACCGAGACAGCAGCTCTGGCTCCCGTACCAGCTGGGGCAGGGGATCCAGGGAGATTCAGTGCCGGGACCTCTGGCTCCCAGCCGAGAGCCAGGTGCGAGCCGTTGCTGGGCACACGATGCTGAGCCGTCAGGGAGCAGGCACGAACGCACGCAGAGGTCCTGGGCCGTCGGGTTAGCACACGCTGACACAAGCAAGGCAGTTAGTGACGAGAAGCAGGGGGGTTTAGTGGGGGAGAGGGGGCCAGGACGGGCTTTTTCACCGCGCTAGGAGCTGAAGGAATCCCGCCTCTCCCACAGGGACGGACGCTCTCTCCTCTGTCCATGCAGACAGCTCAGTTCAGCCCAAGGCCTCAGATCTCAGACATCCTCCAATGCACGGGCCAAGATGCCGCATCCGGGGTCCGCCCGCCCGCCCGCCGGGAGGGTGTCGCCCACGGCACGGAGCGCAGCCACCAGGTCAGAAGGCGTGAAACCGGTTAACCCGGCAAGAGAGATGGGGTTGAACTTGTCTTTAACGTCTCTCTGCGGCCTCTCAGGAGGGTCGGGGCAGGTGCATTCACGTGTGTGTGTGGGGGGTGTGTGGGCACATGCCCATGTACCAGCCCAGGCGTGGGGCTGCGTTAGGCTGACCAGACAGCAAGTGTGAAAAATCAGGACGGGCGTGGGGGGTAATAGGAGCCTATATAAGAGAAAGCCCCAAATATCAGGACTGTCCCTATAAAATCGGGACATCTGGTCACCCTAGGCTGCGTGCAAACTGCGTGGGTGCCTGTGGGGGACGGGTGGGGGGGGCAGGGTTGGAGGCTCACGCAGCAGGGGTGTGTGCAGTGCGAATGCCCCCGTGCATAGGAGTGAAGAGTGGGTGTGCGCCCTCAGCTCACGCGCGCGAGGGGGAGGGGCGTGACTGTATGTGAAGTGTCGGTGCGTGCGCGTGCCAGGCTGGCGTGTGCGGCCTCCGTGCAGTGTGCGGGGGCGTGCAATACACCAGGTGGAGGTGGAAGGGGGGGTATGTGTGATACGCTCACGCCAGCGTGCGTGTGTACGATTGTTTGAAACGTCCCTTTCCCTCGGCCGCGTGAACAGTCAGATACGCGGCAGCCACACCCGATGCTCTGCCCTGGGGTTCCCAGCGGCTCAGAGCAAGGGGGTTCACCCGAGCAGCTTCCCTCCCTCTAGCTATGTCCCCTTCCCCCCGCCCTCCCCCAACTCTCCACGGACCGGCCACCTAGCCCTGGAGCCGCTCCGCTCTTAAAGACAAGTTCAACCGGGATCGCCCCCGCCGAAGCCCAGGGACGGTATCCAGCCGGGGGGTGGGTGGGTGGGGGTGGTGAGGGGTGCAGAGAGAAACTGAGGCAGGCAGGTGCGGCGCCAGGGGGGTGAGTAGGGATGATCGAGGCGGATCACTGATTAATGCTACTAGGCCCGAGAAACGTGACGGATTCCAAGATGCCTGGGACAAAAACCTGCTTTTGCCGGGAGATCCGTCAGCGCCGCTGCCAACGCCCCGGGGGGGGCCCTAGCCGGAGAGGGGGGGAAGAGACAGAGTCATTCGCCGCATCGCTAGGAGCCAAGAGGTGTCAGATCCGGCAGCCGCCGGGAAAAGAGGCCCTCGGAGAAGGAACCCCGCACCAGCCACCGCCCACACAGGCCCCTCCAGCATTCGCCGCGCTCGCTCTTCGCCGGGCTAGGAAGTTTGGCGGGCGTGGCTTGGGGGGGGTCACAGGTCTCGAGGGGGGACCAGCGGGCAGGAGGGGAACGCTCGGCGGCAGAGTTAGGTCGACGTCAGGCAGCTGACATCGACCTAATTACGTCAATGTCCACACTCCGGCCTTGATCCCACCCGTGGGCCCTGGAGAGCCACGCCCCTCCCCTTCCCCCCAAGGGCCTGCCCCCC